TCCCGAAAATTGCTCAAAAGCCCGAGAGCTGGTTTGCCGAGAGTCTCAAACTAAAAATGCTTCCAATTTAATAGTTTCAAGTGAGCCACAGTCGCGAAAATGGCTCAAAAGCTCGAGAGCTCGATCCCCGAGAGGCTCAAACTAAAAACGCTGTGAGTTTAATAACTTCCCCGTGTTTATCAGCGCCGAAAAATGGCTCAAAAGCTCGAGTGCTCATTACCGAAAAACGCTCATACTAAAAAAGCTCTGCGTTTAATAGTTTTCGTGTGTGTAGCAGTATCGAAATGGCTCAAAAGCTCGACAGCTCACTCGCCGAGAGGCTCATACTAAAAAAGCTCTTGGTTTTTATAGTTTTCGGGCCCGTAGAAGTCCCGGGAGTGGCTCAAAAGCTCGAAAGCTATCAATTTTAGAGTGTTTAGATCTGTAGCAGTTCCGGAAATGACTCTGAAAGAAATTTCTGGATCAGAAGTTGTTTCTGAGATGGCGCTAACACTTACAATAAGGGAAGCCGATAAGGAAGGCTGTGAATAACAGGGAATAATAGTGATTTGTGTCCCGCCATCTACGGGGGTTGGTTTGAATGCAGATTTTATGCCTGTCTTGTCTTACACATTTTGGAAGCTTTTGGAAATCATATAACCTCACCGACGGTTGTTAATTGCATGCTATTTTGATTTGAAATCGTATTTAAATGTAATGTGTATGACTGTCGTTACTGTATTCTTCTAATATAGAATATACTATACATTCTCAGTTCGTTACTATCGGTTTTTCATTATTAAACACCGTGTAACGTAATTTAGGTATTTACATGTAGTCATCACTATAGTAACTTACATAGTATGTACTTATGGTTTTGTGCTAACTGACGTGGGCCTAGGAGGTTAAACGTGCGCATAAGAACACGCTTGTTGCGTTGTTACTGTTCTGTACTGTACTGTTCTAAAGAAAAATAACACATAAGTAGAATTTCTAACAGAGATAGTACACAATTAAATACAAGATTAAGTGGTATTTAATAGAGAGATGGATGACGAAGCTGAAACGTACAAGTTATGGCGTATAAGGAAGACAGTGATGCAATTGTGCCATGATAGAGGTTATCTCGTTACTCAGGACGAATTGGATCAAACTTTAGAACAATTTAAGGAACAATTTGGCGATAAGCCAAGCGAGAAAAGACCGGCACGCAGTGATTTGATTGTTTTGGTTGCTCACAATGACGATCCCACAGATCAGCTATTTGTATTTTTCCCCGATGAACCTAAGATAGGAATCAAAACAATTAAAACGTATTGTCAGCGTATGCAGGAAGAAAAGATTCACAGGTAATAATTTAGTGAACTTTTATAATGTAGAAATAATTATTTGAATATTGCAATTATTTCTTATATTAGGGCTATCATTGTTGTACAACAAGGCATGACACCATCTGCAAAGCAATCATTGGTAGACATGGCTCCTAAATATATATTAGAACAATTCTTAGAATCCGAATTACTGATTAACATCACAGAACACGAGTTGGTACCTGAACACATTGTGCTTACGCCGGATGAGAAGGAAGAATTACTTACCAGATATAAATTAAAAGAAAATCAATTGATGCGTATACAGGCTGGTGATCCTGTAGCTCGTTATTTTGGTTTAAAACGTGGACAAGTTGTAAAAATTATTAGGCCATCCGAGACTGCTGGAAGATACATTTCTTATAGACTTGTATGTTAAATAAATATTTTTATATGTACATTAAACATCTGTATTGCAGTAAAATTGAAAATACCTATACATAACATGATTTTTTATAAGTATAATGTAAAATAGAGAAATATAAAATATACAGCAGTTATTTGGTAAATAAAAAGGACTATCTTATTAAGTGTAAACTACATGTTAATAAATTTATATTTGGTCGTTCACAAGTGTCAATAAGGATCAAAATTGATATAACAAATTTGTTCAAACATGTAACTTTATTACATTCGATTATTATACATTTCTTGGTCCAGATACATCATGGTATATTGTTGTCTTTAGCAACTCAATTCCACATTTGATTCATATGTATATATATGTATATATATATATATATATATATATATATATATATATTTATAT